TTCATTTTACGCGTATCTACTATACGCGGGTGAAGTATAATTTTTATTTAGCTCATAAAAATTCATACAAATTATCCGCCAGAATATAATTAACATTGCTGAATTTTACAATATGATGACAATTTGAATACAATCATCATGGATTTTCCATTAGACATACAAATTTTAGATCTAATGTAATAATTTGGTTTACAAAGCAAATATTTTATCTTTTGTGCAAAATATTTGAAGTTTACATTCAAAATATTCCCTGACCTGCAAGGAATCCAGAAATGTCAATTATATTATCCTAACTTTAGTCTGAGGTATTATTTATTACTATACCTTAAAATCTAGTTTTTCACCCAAACATTTCCAGAGAGGAGGAGCCAGCGAGCCGCGGGAAAGATGGGGGAGTTGAGTCCATTATTTGAATGGACATTAACCTGGCGACTATATTTCTTAAATATTAATGTGAGCATCCCATCATAAATCATGATGTTATTTTTTACTAACATAGGTATTGTGTCGAAAAAGTAGAGTTTGGGGGTCGGGCCAGTCTCTATTGGAATTAATCCCATATGTTCTGTTATTCCATTACGTTTTCACGAGGTACCCCTGTTCAATTGACCGCAGAATCGGGGTATCACTGTATATAAGGCTTTTGCCTGTACAATAATTGAACTGTACTTTTGCAATTTTACCATTATGAATATATCTTACACAAGCAGTATAAATGTGGCTACCTTTTACCATTTACGCCAACTTGTACCTTTCTTGGTCAGCCCTGAGGCAAGAGATAAAAAATAAGACAGACAAATTAGATCACTTACAACTACCTGTACTGTATTTAAGGTTTTCCGTTACAATAAACACAGATTAAATACAAACATCTCCACAATAATGCTCTTTTGTAAATTAATGTTTTAATATTGAAAATACTGTAATGTGCTTTCACCCCTATCTTGACTGGGCAACTGAAAGACATCATCTTGGTTCAGGCCTAAGTAGAAAAATGCAAAAGAAACTCCAGGTGAGCCAATTTAACTCTCACTATTTGTATATTTACAGAAGCATCTAGCTAATTGCCTGATTGACCACCTTGGAGGAGAAACAGAAAATATTATTGTTTTTTAACCAGGCCAAAGGTAAACTTTCTGGTCTGCCACTGTACAATACAGAGGATCCAAACTAATACATAATACCTGTACTGTAAATGTCATTTGCATTTGTCCTGTTGGTTTTTTCACTATATTTATTACCCTAAACAGATTCTTGTTCACTGTAAAACTTCATAACTTTTCCATGCAGCATTTTCACTTAGTATTCACCATCTCTTTAGTTCAGTTTCCTTCAAACCTTTGTAATTACTGCACTGCTCACTAACTTGTTCATAACCTCATTTATATCGAGTATTAAAAAATACTTCAAGTAAATATAACTTACGGATAAGTTACACGGGCTCCAGGCCAAAATATCCTTCTGATCTACAGCTCATCAGTAAGCTTGACTGTGATGAGAACCGCTGCTTGTTTTCCAACCCTGACCTGTGAGATAAACAAGCGTCATTATACACAGGTCCCTTATGCTATACTGTACTGTACTCATTTATTAAATTTTTCCTTATAATCCATAATATTTGGAGAATATGATTAGGAATTCTGGTAAGGAATGTTCACCTTTAAGAAAAATAAAAGATGAAGTTAATTTGCCTCATTTTATTAATACAGCTTGCCCTTAAAATTCATGGGTTTGGGTCACGGAATGGCCGTGAATTACTAAAACTGTGAATAACATTTGCTAAACAGGGGAGGGGTTACATTTTTTTACTCGTGGCAAAGAAATGTACATCCCTTTGTGTTTGCTCTAGGTCAATTATTTCTTTAACCCATAATGTATATACAAGACGCACGATACAAAAATAATACTGTAATGGGTAAATCCTCTCACATTTAATCAGAAAGACAAAAATAATGTGAGTCTACCCTCAAGTCAACTCCATGCTTTGTTATTAAAATCGAGTTGGTTGGGTTGCTAAACGCCAATTTTTTTCCTCATAAAATTACTGTCTCTAGAACTAATGGCATCTGAGCGCCAGCTGGGTTGATACACAGATCAAACTTACAAAATTTCTTTTGTAGCCATCTAGCCAACCCAACATGAAGGATGTTGATAATTGTGGTGTAATACTGTAATTTTTTCACTATGTATGTAGGATGGTGTGTGCATGTAACTGAGTAAAAACAATGAAGAAACGAAAGAAAAAACCATAACACCACAGCTTGGCCCAGTAGCCTGGTGGTTACAGTAATGAGCTAAGCTAGATGCAATGTTATGATTAGGCACAAGGAGCACAGTTGTTAAGAGAGCACAGTAGTACACACAGGTGAAACAGACAAGTGTTTAACCCAGACTGTCACTGAGGCAGAGTGAGTGGCCCAGCCACCTGGTACAAGAGACACCTTGCAGGACGTGAAAACTTACGGGCTCCTCGTCCCGGCCGTGAAAATGCTGCCACTTTAAAACTACCTGCAGACATTCTGGGTACATCCAGGGTGTTACACGTGAATAATCAAAGGCCACGTAATAAAAAATCCAGAAATTGTAAGGGCATGCTGTACTTTACAATAATGTACCTTTATGGTTAGCAAAGTTTAATTACATACAGTGGTCCTCGATTAACCTAACACAATTGGTTCCACAGAGTCGTCCATAACCGAAACTTAACTGAATCTATTATTTTAATGATATTGGGTAATTGGTTCCAACTCACAGAAAAGTATATACAAAGTACAGTACTGTATACCAGTAATAGAATTAACAAAACATTAAATATAAACTAATACAGTACTGTACTGTAATGTACAGTATACTGTACAATAATAAATAAAAACAATAGAATACGACTGTATTTTAACTTACTTTGAGGTGTGTATGTCGTATTCCCGGCAGCTTTGTTTACATATCAAACAGCTGATTGTAGAGGCAGTCGATGATGACATGCCATATTCTTTAACAGAGTGCATTTGTTCTAATGCCTTCTTCATGTTTCATAATAATTTCTGCACTGTATATTATCAATATGTTAACTAAATTTCAGAATGACCAATAATTTTAATAAAAATGCAAAATATTCAAGAGACCAACAAACTCAATGTTCACTCCACTGTAAACAAAGTTAAACTGAGAAGCGTTGTTGGGTGATTCAATCAGCTGATGGGCACACAAAACTGTTCCCTGTACTGTCTATATTATCAATATGTTAACTAAATTTCAGAATGACCAATAATTTTAATAAAAAATGCAGAAATATTCAAGAGACCAACTTTCTTGATATTTACTCCACTGGAAAACGAATGTAAACATAGAACCAATTACTGTATTGGCAGACTAGCCGATCAGCTAATCAGCTGATGCGCACAACAAAAGCGTGTTTCTAAGGCTTTCGTTAATCGAACTGAAAATCCTTATGGGAGATAATTGTTAACCAAAATTTCCGTTAATTGGACCGTTCGTTAATCTAGGGACCACTGTACCAGTAAGTACTCATAGATACCTGCACTATGATGTTCTTACTTTTCCTTTATCTTTACTCTAAAGCAAAACAATTTAATGAGACTTCTACCTGTCTCGTACACATATCCACGATGTACAAGCCAGCCCAGAGTTGTAGGGTGACCAGTCAAGAGTGCGGGTACTGGGCACACAACACAAGATATTGCCACACAAGAGATGATTCCTGGTCAGGATATAAACACACTATGTATTCAGTATTCAAAGGCAATTTATCATGAGGAAAGTATAGTGTGAAATAGATCTTCCATAACAATAACTGTCATGCAGGAAGGTGATGAGAGGTGGGTAACTTCTGGGTATTGTAGACTTGATAAATATCCCAGCATTAGATAAAAGTATTCCTGCAAACATTTATTGTCTTAGGTTAGAAAAGGTGTGTGAAATGCAAAATATATTAATAAATAAAAAGCAATTGAATATAGTGCATATATTAACACAAGGCAAGATGGATTTGCAAACACATGTAGTTGAATAAGTACATGAGTGATAAATTATTGGCAAAGAATACAAGAACCAAGTCAAGTGTGTGAAAGGTGATACAGTAACTGTAGTTATACACAAAGTAGTAAACCTTTTAGAATGATAAAAGGCATAAGGCATGACAAGATGTTTGACAGTACATGAATGAACTAAAGGCAAAGCAGATCTTTTATGAATAACCCATGCAGTATCACCTACTGCACTGTACTGTACTGTAGATGTAAATAAAGTCAGTACAAAGAGCAAAAATAGGTCAAGTAGACCTAAGAGTGTACGAAGTGTTAAATAAGAATTGATATTTGGTTTAGGAAAACGTAAATGGTGAAATTATCCATGTACAGTACAGTACAGTACTGTTTCTCACTGGGCAAGAGTGGTACCAATACTTCCTCACTCAGCCAATTGTCCAAAAGGATATAATGTGCCTTGAGGCAAGTGTAACTGATAAGTTTAGGATAAGAAGAAAGAAGTGGGTTGAGGGCATGAAGACTAAACACTATTTCCAAAACTAGTAATAAACAGTTGGACACATGCACATCTTAAAGTAATGATGACAGAACCTACCAATTTCAAACCATCCATCCATCCAAAACTGACTAAGTTTTTGGTTAGCACACAGACACAAACCCACCCAACATGAAACATGGCATGGGTGATAACAATATTCATATGCCCAAGAATGAAGGATAAAAAACGTCTGTATTAAGTAAACTCAACTCACCATGTCTACAATGGTTTTCATGAAGCCTCGTTATTGCTTCAACAACAGGAGACGGGAACACGTATGTTGACGAAGGATGCTAGACTTTCTGTCAGCGAACTGTGAGAAGCATAGGGTGGGGAGATGGAAGCAGAGGAGGTTCCATGGCACGGGTAAGGTAAGGCACTCTGTGGCTCACGTCCACTGCCCTCCAGCACTCTAGACAGGGCATGGAGTAAAGTTTTAGTAGGAGAATAATATTATATCAGAATAAAGAAGACTGCACATCAAGCATGTACAGTACTGTAATATTTACAAGCATCTGTCAAGGGAAAATGAAAAAATTTGAAATAAAAATAAAATATTGTACAGTGCAGTACCATACTACTGTATTATTATTTAGTATGCACAGTATTAAGTCACTGAAAGCATTTGAGAAACAAGCCTTCTTAGTTAAAACCAAAGATTATTACCCTTTACCAACTAATTATATTTGGACAAAGCAAACAAGAAAAAGAGGCAGGTTGATAAAAACAGCAAGGGAAAGTGAATAAGAGAAGTAGAAACAGCAGACACCGTGACACACGAAAGATAGAGGAGGCGAGAAACTAAGAGAACAGAGAGGGGGGCAAGTAAAGATGAATGACAGAGAAGGTAGAAGAGAGTGTAAGGATCCATACTCACCAGCGGGGTGTTTGAGCCTTGAAGAGTGCAAGAAACTGGGAGAGGTGTGGGTGTGAGGCACCAGCCCACCTCAGCCCACACTGCCACCACCGTCCCCACTACATCTGTTAATTACGAGGGTCTCATCTTAGTATTACACATCATGACAGACATAGACACAATACAGTATATTGTTCACACTGAGTATGACTACCTGGACTGATTGAATGGACTTGTTAAAAACAGAGGTTTCTATTTATTTGAGATTTGTTGAAAACTTTTTTTTCTGTTCAGCTTGATTAGGATTGACCTAATTAGTGTAATTAAGATAAATGGATTCAAACCAGCCAAAGTGAGGCTGAATGATTGGTTTCTAGTTGAATTTAGTGGTTTCCAATTTTAAAACTGATTTCTTCTCAGCTTAACTTAGAGAATACTATTTTCAAATCATCTTGTTGAAACAGCACAATACTGTACTCAGTATGCCGGAATCATGGTTTCTACACTGAAAACTGAGATTTTTACTCAGTCAAATATATCTGTCCCCCAACAGTGACAGAAAACTAGGCAGAGAGTGTTCCAGGATTAGCCAGTGTATCGGGCACTGGAAGTGGCAAAATGTCTGGACGGACGGACAGACGGACGGATGCATACACACACACACAGAGACCTACCAAAAAAAAGGAGTAGACTTGCAGAGGATCGGGTGGGGGGAATTGTTACTTTATAGAGTACAGTCAGCCGTTAACGTCCGACCAACAACGTCCGATCGCATATACGTCCGTGCCCCCCAAAAAAATCCGTGACGCCTGCTGGACCATCACTCCACAATCCCTGACGGAGACACGATGATCCTCCCCATACTGGTCAGATATTATGTGTTAAAGGAATATCCAGGTAGTAGGTATTAGGCAGCTACCAAACAGGAGGTACTACCGCCTGTGAAGATATTGGAAGCATAATGTGTTGTCTAATGGTAGACCCTGCTGCCATGTGGCATCACGAAAATTATGACCAAGTCCCAGGTTGCTGATCTGACTTTCTGCCTCATTTACACACAATTGCAGGGTCTCAATTGTTTCTCTTACTATTGACAACACAACATACATAATGTATATTGTTTCTCACGAAATTTTTTTTCAATTTGTATTTCTTTATGGTTCTTTTTTTATTTTATTATTATTATTATTATTATTATTATTATTATTATTATTATTATTATTATTATTATTATTATTATTATTATTACTAAATTTTCGCCCCCAGGCCCTGATGTGGGTCAGTGACCTGTGCCTGGGTAGGCTAATCCTGCAAAAACAAAAACAAAAAACATGCTTCCTTCCTAGGCTCTTTTGAAGCATTTGCCTCCAGGTGTATGTTAACCTACATCTATTGAGGATAAAATCTTTCACCTACAAATTGACAATAACACATTTGCTGTAATCAGACATATCTAGTTGATTCCGAACAATTGCAACCTCAGTTGCAATTTGGGTTGC